GACTCCCATCCTGGGAAGAGTCTTTTTGACAGCTTCGACCCTGATAAGGTTCTCTGTGAAGAGGCTTCTAGTTTGAAATGCATTTGAGGAAGTCCCAGAGGGCAATGGATTCTTTCACAGTTGAACATGCTGGCTCACAACATATGCCTGGGGACTAGATGTCCCCCAAACTGATGCGATTTCCACTCGTCAATATGGGAAGAAGGGATGTGGCATGCCTTTGGGAGGACACATGTGTGGCTTCTGTTAAGTGTTTACTCCTGGGATGCAGCTCGGGAGGGATGTCTTCCCGCCTGGGGCACAGAACAGACCTGGTGCCTGACAGAAGTTCCACGTGAGTGAGGTGCAGGCAGTGGCAGATGCTCATGGCTCGTGTTTGGGAAGTGAGGAGAGCAGAGAACAGATGGAAGCCTGGGCCTTGCATCCCAACGTGTTGATTTCCACAGGCTGAGGGAGGGATGGGGCAAAGGGCTGAGCTGGGGCCTTCCAAGACCAGAACTCACTGAGCCAAGCTGGAGATCTAGCCTGGGTTCCTGCTGGGGTTGGAGGTGTCCTTGCCCACCACATTGCAGCAGGTCAGGGAGGTTCCAACACCCGACATAGTGTCCAGCTGTCCAGTCATTCAGAGAGAGTCAGCTGGTTATTCCAATTCATGTCTCACAGAGGAGGCTTTGTTCCAGGGGGCGAAGGAAGGGATGATCACAGAGAGTCTACTGGTTAGGGTTCTAGCCTCTAGTTGTTTCTTTGAGCAAGGTGAGGAGGAAGGGATGAAGGGGATGTTCTGCTGGAATTCCAGCTTGGCCCCGATTCCCTCTCTCCAAACCCTGTCCTCTTAGAAAAAGCTGTGAATAGTCCAGTTCTGCATCCCTGGCTGTGAAGACACTCCTCCCCCGAAGCTGCTAGCTGCACAAGACCCCACCTACCATAACTGGGCACAAACCCAGCTTGTGGAGGATGTGTCATCACCCTGTCACTACAAGGTATTTAAGACCCCTCCTTCAGATCAGCCTTGTGATTTCTCTCCTGTCCTCTTCCCCCTATGTCATCTCTGGGGGCTGGAGAGTCACCAGGGAGTGCTTTGCCTAAATAAACCTTTACTTTTAAATTCAGCTTGATATGGCTTACTGCATCAGTGGAGAAACCTATCATCTGGGTACAGAAAATCTACCAAGGGGATCCTTTGAAACTTGGCCCACTTTAGGATAGAGTCCCTGTCCTTACAGGGGTCATGAGTGGGGGACCCCTACGCTCTCCTCTAACCTTAGCGGATTTGGCTTAGAGAGTGAGTTCATGGACCACACCTCCATGTGCACCACAGCCAAGGGTCACTTGGAGAAGTCAGGAGCATCACGATTCCTAAGATTCCCAACCTGCACCCCAGTCCCTTAGGTTGTTCTAGAACTTAACCCAGGAGGAGAGAGCCCTCGGGCTGGGGGCCTCTAACCTGGGTGGTGGGAAAATAATGCTAAATCCAACGTTAGAAGCCATTCTATCAAGGTCTGGGGCCAAGCACAGAATTATAGCCACCCTAGAATAGGCCTGGAGCAGCCCCAGTCAGTGCCTGGCCCTCCAATTCTCAGCCAGGAAGCTGACCCACTCTGGTCTGGAGGAGGCTTTAGGCTGGAGAGATGGCTCAGAGAAAGGTTAAGAGCACTGGCTGCTCTTCCAGAGGTCCCAAGTTCAATTCTCAGCAACTACATGGTGGTTCATAACCAGCTATAATGAGATCTGGCGCCCTCTTCCTACATGCCAGAACACTGCATACATAATAAATAAATAAGAAAGAAAGTGTATAACCTGCAGGTGCAGTTCTCAGGGAGGTGAGCTGGACCATTTTTCTTGCCATGTGCTGTTTCATATGGGTCTGAGGTCAAGGGACACTGCAAAGCTTCATCACCAACTCCTACCGACCCTGCTGGAGGCCATTTCTGTGAATCCATCTCTTAGAGACTGTCAGTTTTCCACCTGTAGAGTTCCTGAGCCTCCACCAGCATCTCCTCCCACCAGCGGCTCCTCCCACCTGGGGCTCCTCCCACCAGGGCTCCTCCCACCTGGGGCTCCTCCCACCAGCAGCTCCTCCCACCAGCGGCTCCTCCCACCTGGGGCTCCATGGACCTCCTGTGGGGATCTTGCATCTACCAACCTCTGACAGTGCCACACTATTGGTGCCCCTTTCCTGAGCCACTCACTGCAACCCACAGGTTGTATTTGGTATCACCTGCTCTCACTCCAAGCCTGAATCCCAGCTTCTCAGCCACAGTGGCCAAGTTCTGATTGGTGCGTCCCCCAGAGCTTTTCTCAATTGGCTATTTCAGCAGTGGATGCTGAGAAACTTCTTCCAGCCCTGCAAATCTTCAACTCTGGAAGCTTTGCTTTCCACAGGTCAGGGCTGTTTCTCTCATATTGTTCAAAGTGGGCAGGAGCAACCCGTGGCTATTTCAGCAGTGGATGCTGAGAAACTTCTTCCAGCCCTGCAAATCCTCAACTCTGGAAGCTTTGCTTTCCACAGGTCAGGGCTGTTTCTCTCATGTTGTTCAAAGTGGGCAGGAGCAACCCACCTTTGAGGCTAGCATTTTCCTACCCAGGGCTGCGGGTTGTTACCTCATCATTCACTTCCAAGCCTCAAAGCTATCACCTTATCGAAAAGCTGTGAGACTCAAATGGCCTGCCTGTGTGACTTGTCAGTGGCTTTACTTTTGGACTTAAGGGAGGTCTCCCCTCCAGGACCAAGTCCTTCACAGTTCAGGGGTCATCAGGACAGTGCTCCCAAATGATACAGTTTGGGAATCACCTTGCAGAAGCAGATGTGCAGCCTTCCTTGCAGAGCGTCTGTAGAGCATAGTGCTGTGCTGCTGTGGGGCTGTAAGCCACACTGAGATCCTCTGGCCCGGGGCTCTGTGGTAACCGGCATCACTTGCGATGGCTCAAAGCAGCTAAACATGCTTCCTCTAGTGATGGTACAAGTTTATGACAGGCTGGTGATATGACACTAGACCCTGCTGGGATGTTGTCATGACTGCTGACATACAAAAGGGAGCCACTCCTTTCGAGGCAGGAGGTACAGGTCCCATTTGCTGACGGTCATTAGCTAAGATGAACCACATGTTGCCTCCTCCAGTCACAAGGAGCAAAGGAGTGTGATCTGATTATCTAGCTGCGAAAGTGTCACCTGATGGATTTGGTGACATGTCCCTTCAGGGTGTCAAAATCCCAGAGTGAAAAGTAAGTCCTCTGAAGCCAGCACCAGCTACATCCTAATACCCACTCATGAATACAAAGCAACCCACAGCTGGGCCACAGCAACGCGAGGTCACAGCCAGGTAGCCAGTCTCCCCGTCCCTCCTAGACCACCACTCTCAAATTCATAGTTCCTAATGTCCGGGGCTGCAAATCAGAAGAAGAATCAGATGGTGGGAGCTTGGTCATGCAAAGACGACAGCCAGTCAAGTCTCTGGGGTGTAAACAGTAACTCCTTTATTGAGACACTGTTACAATGGTTCCTTTGTTACACAGTTTAAACATATTTTAGAGCACTCTTCTGGGGAGAAATTAAAATTTGAGGCTTCCCCTTGGACTTCTGGGAAATATACAGTGTATCCTTTGGCCTGGAATTTTAAAGGGTCTGAGGTCTTATAGCTTTTTATCATAGCGTTCTATTTACGTTTCCCTGTGTATTTTTTGCCAGCATTTGCCCAATTGTATATATATGGAGAGAGACGGAGAGAGAGCACACACCAGAGAAAATGGAAACATAAAATGATGCCAGGAGCATTTCTGCAAATATAAGAAGTAATTTTATTGTAAAATATTGAAGATAAGGTGGACTGAGGAGAACAGGACACATTTTGGACTTCAATACAAATTGTAACTTGGAAGGGACTGACAGAAGAACGGGACAGAGTGAGAGGATGAATCAGATGGGGAGAGAGGCAGAAACCGAATCACATGACCTACACAGAATCCACAGGGCATCATATGGCCATCATCCAATATGGCTTTTCTCATGCAGAGGCATGCGCAGCAGTCCCTGGCTCATGATGGCATCCTGGCTTTCAGGAAGAATCTCCAGGCCAGACTTTTCTTTGGCAAGAGTAAAACTTGTTCTTCAGGAAACTTTGGGGATGCATGTTGGTGGCATTCATCAATCCTGGTCATTTCTGGGTGCTTGGTTGTGGTTTCCTTCACTTTGGGGGGTGGTGTGGGGACAGGAACACTGGGGTATGATGGCTGGCTCCCTGGGGCACCACAGCTTTCTTGTGGTGGAAGGAAAAGCATAACAAGAGTGCAACTCACAGCGAGTCATTCTTTTTCCTTGCTGGTCCTGGAGACCTCTGCACCCATCACATACACCTTGGAGGAGGATGGAGAGGGCAGCATGCAGAGGGATCCATTCTGAGCCCGGAACTGACACCTGTACCCAGAACACCCCTCTGGTGGAAACCCAAACAGCAGCCCTGGAGCCGCAAAGTCCACTGCACATCTTTCAATCCACCCGCTGCTCACAAGGCAGTCTGGCTATCAGTGCAGGCACCCAGTGGCTTCCATACCATCCTTGGCACACACACAGAAATTAGCACCACAAACATTCAGCAACTGAACTCGATCATGGATACACAATGTACCATGTATCAAGTCTTTGTTTTGAGCACATGTTTTCAAATGAAGTAAGCAGAGCCCAGAGGGGAGTCAGACTCCCCACCATCATGAGCACGGGGCACCTGCAGGGAAGAAAGGTCTCTGGCACCAATCTGATCTTTAGGTCCTTGGCAAAATCTCAGAATGTGGAGAAATGGCCAGGATAAAGGAAGGTGGGGGAAGAAGGCACGGCAGGCACCCTAATGCTGCCTCTAGGACACATAGCACCACAAGAGACAAGTGTAAAAAAATCAGCACCAATGTTCATAGTTATTTATCATCTCTAGAACACGTGGTTCTCCAGCCCTGGACACTGTCCCATCAGCCGCTGCAGGAAGGAACACGGAAAAAGGAAGCAATCAGGATTAATTTAAGCCTGTGTTTTAATCTGAGTGCATGTAGAAAAGGCAGGATCTCAAATGCCTTTTTTCCCTCCCCATAAAAAATTATCCAGAGCTAATCAAAAAGAAAAAAAATAATTAAAAGTCTGGAAAGGGGCCCAGGCACCTGCAGTGGCAATGCAGCTTCTTGCTGACTAAGCAAATTTCCAATTTATTGCACGTTCTTGGGGGCAGGGTGATAGTGAGGAGATGCCCTCTATGGAGAGCCTGATTGCAAGCCCAAGCTGGTGCCCCGTCCCAGCTGCTTGCTCTCCCCATGGGCCTGAGGCTGGGTTTCCATGCAAGATTGAAAGCCAGGCACACTTAACATTTATAACAATACAATACAAATATTTACTTAAAACTCTCACAAAAACATAAGCACCTTTAATCCATCGGAAAGGCACACGTGGAATGACATTTGGCCTCTGAGTGGATGTATTGAGGGTTGTTTAAAAACAAAAAAAGAGAAGGCTTTGGCGACCTTTACAAGACCACCTTAGAACATCTTTTGAAGGTCAAGGGGAATACATATTTTCAAGTTGGTTTTTTTAAAGTGATTTCCAAATACTGCCCCACCCTGACTCCCGGCCAACAGTTCACGAACACCTTTGATGAACCTATTAGGAGAGCTGGGGACCAGGGCCTGCAGTGTGGCAAGAGGCTGTGGTGTGGCTAGGTCATGTGATTCGGCTCCGTGGGAACACGGCTCTTTCCCTTTGTTCTCATTGGTGTGGGGTCCAATGCCACGGAGGGTCCGAGGCACAGATGAGTCAGGCAGGCAGGGGTGAGAAATGTTCACTGTCCAGGATGGGCCGTGCACAGGACACCCACAGGTGGGGTGCTGAGGTCACGAGGTTGCTCTGAAGACCGGTGGGCTCAGCAGCTCCTAACCTAGGAAGCAAGCCGGCCCCACTTCAAATCCAAATTTCTGTGAGGCTTCACCAAAGTCGTTGAACATGATATCCACAATGGGGACTTGCTCCACTTTGGGCGTGTCGATCTCCAGCACTGTTTTCTGGTAGCCTTTCTTGGTCTAGGAAAGGGGGAAGAAGGCAGAGGCAGTTAAAGCCAGGGGCGGTTAAAGTGCTTAACTTACCACCCCTGACCCAGGTCCCCCTTTGCCCCAAGGCTCCACCAACTCCTGAGCCACCAAGAACATCAAGTTGGAGGAAACATGGCCAAGCAGAGCAGTAATGGGACTTCCCACAAGACTTTACACAAGAGAGGCAGGAGGAGCTCTGCCATTCCAAGTTCCTCCACAGGAATGGGCAAGCAAGGGAACCTTCCATACTACCTGTTCCTGAGTGAACAGGGTAAACCGAGGCACAGAGGGGCCATGACGGCACAGGGCCTGAGCAGGAATGCAGAAGGCTTGCTGAGAGTGCAGGGGTGAGTGGGGAGGTGGACAGCACCTTCTCTACCTGGCATGAGTGTCCTGTCTTCACTGATCTCAGCTTCCACTCGCCCAGACCTCACTCACCCATAGCTGTCTGGATAAGACACCTCTGTCTTGTCCTCAAAGCCAGGTTAGGGGCACATGGAGGCCAAGGAGCATTTGAACACTGCAGACTCTGCCCAGCCAGATTGACTTGGCTCTCTAGTCAATCTAGTCAATTCTCTAGCGAATTCAGAATCTGAAAATTTTTCTTAAATGGGAGTCTTGGGTGATTTTTGTCATTTATAGTTTTCTGGCTGTCCCCTGAGAAACTGAAAGAACTTGCAACCAGGAGCCCAGCACAGACACTGATCACTTAGAATGTGGAGCATGGTCCAGTTTGAGGGCTGATCTGGCCAGGGATGGCCATACCTTTCCACTTCCATAGACATGCCTGGAACTTATCATGTGATACATCTGGGGGCTAGAGAAATGGCTCGGTGGTGAAAGTATTCTCAATGCGAATATGAAGAGAAGTTTGAATCCTCAGAAACACGCATAAATGCAATTCCAGCTTTGGAAAACAGATAGAAGCCCAGAACAAAATAGCTAGCAAGACAAGCATACCAGTGAGCTCTGCATTTGATTGAGAGACACTGCCCCAATGAACAAGATCCATGATTCCCAACAGACTGCAATGTTGAGTCTCTACATGCATATACACAATTATGTACAGAGAAGATTACAGAGACAGTGGCCTATGCCTTTAATCCCAGCACTCAGGAGGCAGAGGCAGGATGATTTCTGTGAGTTCATGGCCAGCCTGGTCTACAGAGTAAATTCCAGGGTAGCTCTGGCTACACAGAGAAACCCTGTCTCAAAAACAAACAAACAAAAAACAAAAAAGAATAAGAAGAAAAAAGGATGGGGAAAAAATCTGGCTATCTTCAGGGGCTGGACTTACATACCCATGAAGCTAGCTATGGGATAGTTGAGACCCTTACCCTCCTAGCCAGTCTAGGGAGCTAGAGCTGGCTACCCTTGCCATCTAGGCCCTGTTACCCAGACTTACATGAAGTCATCGGCCTGGCCTCTTCTGGAAGGCGGTATAGTCTTGAGGAGCCGTGTGAGGTCAGTGATGGGGCCTCCATTTTTGTATGCCAGTGGGTCATGAGCCCAGGCTTACACCAGGCCCCACTTTCTCCCTTTATGGCATCAGCATGGAGTGGGCCTCTCTCTCCCACCCTGGGGACCACCGTGTGTGGAGCTGGCAGGCGATTTCACATGGATTTGTGGGGCCCCGTTGCTCCAATTATCAGAGCGCTTAGAGAGGGACGTATTTAAAGAAGAGACATAAATAACCATTGCCAGCTAGAAACGGCCCCCCAGGGGCGCACAAAGCTGCACAAACAACGGGATTGATGTAGAGTGACTCCTGGCCCTTCTGCAGGGCCAGCCGCTTGGCAGCCCCGTCAATCAGGCTACCCAGCCACACAATACCAGCGTTGGAATTCCAATTTCAGTGGCTGTGATTACAGAATGAATCAAAAGCCAGCCTCCCAGGGCTGGGCAGGCCTTTGCACCACTGGCCTGCATGTGGAGGACAAAAGCCTCCTGAAGGAGCCCTGCAATTGAATGAGAAGATTGTGACCTTTCAAATTGCGGCCGAACTTCTCAGGGGTTTGGGGGTAGAGAGCATGTTGCCCACTCCAGTCAGCCTTGCCTGCTGTTCCCCTTGGACTGCCTTGAGCTGCCACAGTCCTGTCAGTCTGTTCCCTCTCCCTGAATTCCCTCCCAGTACACAGAGCCAATTTTTTCCATCAGCGGGTTATTCTGTTCTGAGCCATTATCTCCCCCACCTTTTCCAAGGCAGGGTCTTTTCTTTTCAGGAGTAAAAACAGGAGGGGGCTGCTTTTCCCTCTCTAGCACAGTGTCCTGTCCTACACTTGCCTCTGCATCGAGAGATGCTGTGGATGCCATAGCTCACAATGATGTTTGGTGCTTCGAATAGAATTGCTCTCCCTACATACAGATGGTCAATGTGGGCTGTGGTCAGGAGAGCTTGCACTTCAGCTCCACACTCTCTCTGGGTCAGCCTGTCCCTGGAGGTGTGTAGAGAGCTCCCAAGTGTGGTTGGCTCTCCCCTCAGAAGGCCAGTTCTGGACTGGGGAGATGTTCCAGGCAGTAAAGTGCTTATCATGCAAGCATGAAGACCAGAATATGATCCCCAGAACCCACATTTTAAAAGCTGGGTATGAAGGCTAGGGAGGTGGCTCAGTGGCTGAGAACACTCGTTACTCTTGCAGAGGACCTGGGTTCAATCCCAAGCACCCACATGGTGGCTTACAACCATTCATGGCTCTAGTTCCAGGGAACTCAATGCTCTCTTCTGGCCTCCATGGGCACCAGGCATGCATGCAGTATGTAGACATACATGTGAACACAAGACCCACACACATAAAATAAAAATTAAATAAATCCTTAAAATAAAGCTGTGTACAGCCGCACATGCTGGCAATCTTGGTTCCGGGGGTACGTGTGTGTGTGTGTGTGTGTGTGTGTGTGTGTGTGTGTTTGTGTATGGAAGGCTACCAGATTCCTGGAGTTCACTGGCCAGTCAGTCAGCTTAGCTTACTTGGCAAGTTAAAGCCAGTGAGAGACCTCGCCATTCTACAGGAGTAACAGTCATTTGTGCCATCCACATGCACCCCACACATTAATACATACAAGCACACATACACGCACGCGCGCGCGCACACACACACACACACACACACACACACACATACACACACACATTTCCACATACACAAAGGTACCTAGTTCATGTTCTTACCCTGCCCAGAAAAAGAGCTACTTAAGTGGAAGTGGTCTGATATGGCCAGGCTGGAGGCATATTTGGCCTTTAATGCATCCTCAACATACAGCTCTGGGAATGGCACACAGAAGGTACCCCAGAAATTTACATTGAGTGAGCAGCACACCCACACCTGCCTGTGTCAGCCCCCTGCCAGGCCACTGACTGGTAGCAGTTGTAGGTGATGTTCTGGTGGGCAGAGGCACTCAGCAGCCGCAGGAAGGTCATTTGTACCACGCCCACAGGGTTGCCTTCAGCATCCACATATGAGAGCTGGGGGTGGTTACAGCAAAGGGATCAGCAGGGTGGAGGGAGGCACAGCAATGGCCACAGAGTTGCCCACATCCACAGGGCTTCACCCAAGCCCATCTCCCTGAGGTCGCTGCCTGGGAGCTTCCATACTCCTTGCCCCTGAGGCCAGCACAGGATCTCCTGTGAGCTCTGGGAACAGGAGCCAAGTGAAAACACACCTTGTTCTCTTCAGGGACTGACAGTCTGCTTATTATCCTTCATCCAGAAGCCCTGTCTCTCCAGGTTCAGTGCACTGCTTCCTCCAGTAAGCCTGCCTGGGTCAGGTTTTCCTGCATTTGACCCTCTTTTCTGTCTCATTCTTCCAGGACACTTTTGAGGAGCCAACTATCCTCTCCCCACTTGGCAGGGTCTTCCTGGCTTGACTTCATTGAATGAAGACCTGCCTTCTTGTCTATGGGACACAGAAGGCTCTACACTCCTGTCAATGAGTCAGGGTGCTGGGAGCAAGAGGCAAGGTCTCACTCACTTCCTCGGAGCAGATGATGGGAATAAGGTGTGGGAGTAGAAAAGGCTCCTGGGATTCTGGTGGCCATGCCCTATGCTTCCCTGGTAGTTCTTGAGTGTTCTATCTGACCCTGAGCCTTGCAGAGGTCCTTCTCTCTGCTGGGCACATGACCCACAGGCAAAAGATGCTACAACTGTTACGTTTGGCCACAGCTCTGTCACTGCCCTTCACTGTGCCCTGAATGAAGCCCTGAGGCTGTGTGCACCAGCCTCCCTCGACACCAGCTCAGGCCCTGTGTTCTGGTGCCCATCTGTCACCTTCCTTGGACCATGTATGCCACAAGTACAGTAGCTCATCCTGTTGTCCTTGTCACTGTGCTGAATAAAGGAAGGTGGCATGGGCTCTTGTGGGCAGATGGGAGGCTACCTGCTGAGTGCTCAGGATGCAGCACACCCTACCTTGGGAGTCTGCTAGACTCAAGAGCTAGAATGGCCAAGAGACCTTGGGGAAAGGCACAGCCTGGATGGATGATGGACAATCCTGAGTAGGACCTGAGCTCTTTGAGGATTCGAATAACTGGGTGTACCCTGGAGGTACAAGGGTGTCCTCTTCTGTAGGGAGACAGGATTCTGAGGCAGCAAACAGGCTATTCTGCTGACCACTGATCATAGCAAGCAAAAATCATAGGTCTCTGGAGAGAGGACCCCCTCAGTGGAAGGCCCCACCCTCCACAGCAAACTAAGGGACAGCATCAGGGAAAAAGAATGCCACTTGGTAATTGACTCTCATGGTGTTATCACTATCACAAGCCACTCTGCTCTTCTAGGTGCAGGCTGGCATGGGCACCCCAAGAGGACAGTCCCATTTTCTACATGTCTTTTGCTGAGGGTTTTCTGAGGCATTGACTTTATCAGGGGTGCAAAACTCTTAGCTGTGGGACAAAGCACTGGCTCCCCCAGCCTGGGTGTGACTGGAGGCCTCTCCAGGTAAGGACTAGCCGGGCTCAGCTAGGTAGGTCCTGTAATGACGTTTTCATCAAGGATAAGAGGCTGGCAGAGGTTCCTGTGTCACTCTGGTAATCCCATCTCCAGTCAGCCACTGCTCTAACACTGTTCTGTGTGCATGTGGACAGTGACGTCGTGCTGGGGCAATGCTGGGTCTGGCACAGGGCAAGGTGACCAAGAAAACAGTGACAACTTCAGAACCCACATTTCCAGCAGTAATAGGAGGAAAGAATGAGGTGGTAGAGCCAGGCCCAGGACCCTGTCCTTCCCACCATGGCAGCAGGAGACCATGGGAGCTTCCAAGCTGTCAGCAAACATAACTTCCTTGGAGACAGCTTGAGAAAACCCATAGTCAGACTGCAGAGGAAAATGCATACCAACCATCGGTCTGGGCATCTGGTGCTCCTGGGAGGTCACATGACTGACTCAAGAAAGGACATATGCCACAGCAAAGGCAGGGTTGGCACCAGACACAGAAGGACCCTAAGCTCCAGTAGTATCCCAGGTTGAAGTCTTCAAGTGGCCCTGCCCTAGGGGATTCCCTGTCGTCTTAGTATGAGCAGCCATCCTGGGCAGCTCAGAAAGCTGCCCCACCCCCATCCCCAGTTACTGTGGTTCTTACTGGGAGCTGGGAATGAGGCAGTGGAGCCTAGAGGTAGGCTGGTTTGCCTTGGATGGTCCCTGCACCTCTGTCCCTGGCAGCCAACTCAGAGGGGGCTGCTTAGACACAGGTATTCTATGGCCATAGCTCCTTCAGCAAGGACAGTGATTGTGGTGGGCACCCCCTGGGGGACCTGGACGACATCAGGTGGAAGCTATTTGGGAAGAGGAGAAGCCAGGCCAGGCTCAGGAATAGAGGACCCAGGGGATCTCAGGCTTGGGCAGTTTCACCCCCACAGCTCCTTCTTTCCTTGGGTCTCCTGTCACTGCTCACTGGGCCTCCCTCCCTACAGGTCCTTCTGTGTGCCAGTGGTTCTCCTCTGAAAAAAGCAAAGGAAGCAGAAGAGAGGAAACAACAGACAAGGACGCCCAGCTCCCAGCAAGGGAAGTGAAGGCTGTGGGGATGAAGCCAGAAGAGCACAGGCCTGCAGCTTCTGTGCACAGGTTTAGTGCCTCAGGACCCTGACAGAGAGCCAGGCATGCCTCTAGGCTAGGAGATGACAGAGACGATGGTGAGGGCAGGATGGTCCCAGAAGCCATCAAATGCTCCAAAATACATGGTTCTGTGCTCACTAGAGGCTGAGGCTGGTGCAGCGCTGAGAGGCAGTGAAAGCCTAAATGTGGCTTGCGTGGGCAAGGACCCGGAGGGCGAGGCCCGCTAGATGGAAAATGAGAGTCAAAAAACGGTGTGGTGGGCTCTATTTGGACCCAGAACCTGGAGTCTGGCAGGGTGTCACAGAGCTTTGAGCTGACTTCAGCGAAGGCTCAGAGTGCTTGGGGGAAAATGTCCCCTTTTGAGTGGGAGAGTACTGGTCTCACAGTAATGAATCAAAGTAAGTTCCTGGCCTCCATGCTGGCCACAAGAGCCTTCTGGTTAATGTTTTAAGATCTTTTCACCTCTGAGGTGATTGCGTTCTGAGATACACTTCCCATAAGTTAAACATAGACTAATTAATATATATGGGTGCAACTGAAGACTACAAGGCCAACATCAGCCAGATCCTGTGGGCCCTGCATAGCCCAGGAAGAGGGTGTGAATGGCAGTGGCCTGGAAGAACCCTCAGTGAACCATCTTGCCTGCTGTGACCATGGACGTATGCATGCCTCTGGCCTGGGCGTGTCAGCCAGATTGTGCCACCTATAAGTGGCATGTGGCTTTACTGGAGCCCCCACCTATGGCTGTGGGTGCCTTGAATCTCAGTGGGAAGCTACCTACCTACTTCCAGGATGGAAGGGAAGTCTGGTCTGGGTGAAAGAGGAGGCAAGAGGAAGGGACATCACACCCATCGATTGGCCCTTGCTGTCAGGCGTGTAGAGCAATTTTGCCTAAAGGGCAATAGCAGGTGTGGCCCCAGCTGCAACGAGTCCCATGCAGCACCCAGAGCCAGGCCGAGCCACAAGCAGACAGCGTGAGGCGGCCACTTACCAGGGAACCCCGTTTGTACTGACTATACCAGGTGGAAGGCTGCTCTTTGGGCCAGCGGGCCATTTTACTCTGCAAGATAGGAGACGGCGGGTTTAAAGTGACAACTGCAAAGGACATGGGGTCACCTTACCAGTTTCCCACGCTTGAATTCACTGAACCAGGAACCTGGGTTTTCTTTGGGCCAAGAAGTGATCCTGGCCTACACATCAGGCAGGGATGGTGGGGAGGGAGAGAAACAGAAAACGAAAGGGTTACTTCTGCCTCTGCAGACAGACCTTCCCAGCTTTCCCAGCCCCTGGGTCCTGCCAAGGTGCCTATGCTCCCACTAAGAGCTGAGGCCTTACCACCATGACATGGGATGACAACAGCTCTGGAGCGCTACAGTGGCCAAGTACATGTCAACAATAGTCATGCCAGGGCTACAGACGCCACCCTATCAACCTATGTGCACCCAGGACATCAAGTGACTGCTGAAAGGTACTAGTGGAGCAGTAAATGACAAATGCAGAAGTCTCATGTCAGTGACAGGAAAGTTGCAGAAAGCATGACTGATGGGCTTAGAAATATGTGGACATCTCATTCCAAACTCAATTTTGAGATGCAGTGGCACAGGCTCTTCAGCTGTCACCTGCTTACTGCAGCAACACAGACAGCCCCACTGTGTGTGTGTGTGTGTGTGTGTGTGTGTGTGTGTGTGTGTGTGTGTGTAAGCACTTAAGTATGTATGCACAATATATATGTGTGCATAGGATAGATGGGTGTGGTATGAGTTGAGTACATAAGCATATGGGAGGCTCCCTCCATCTTGGCTGGCTGCAGGCCATGGGAAAATCAGGCTGAGACTGAGCCAGAAGTCCCCTCCCTTCTGGTTGACTTCCTTAGTGCTAGGAGGCACTAAGTAGGTTGCTGGGGGAGAATTATTCCCAACAGTTCTGTTTAGTTATGTTTCCTGCATAGCACTAAGTAGGTTGCTGGGGGAGAATTATTCCCAACAGTTCTGTTTAGTGATGGGTCCTGCATGCTTTGCTACCAACAAGTCAGACAAGATTGGTGCCATAGTGATACAGCTTTTATGGTGTGAGCAGCTGATTTTCAATAGGTTTAAGGTTCACTTCACAGACGAGAACTCACATCTAGAACTATAAGCAAGGGAAAAGGCCCATAGCTGGGGAGATGATAAGCTCTAGTGGGGAGGCCACTGCTCTTACTTTGTTAATGGATGTGATGGTCCCTATCAAGTTGCCTTCCAATCATTGGTGTTTATGCCTACAGCGTACTGCTGCTGTCTCAGTTGGTCATGAAAGGAATAAAAGAAGCTTATGTATTTATTTTGCAATATGAGGTGAATGGTAGAGGCTCATAACTAGTCACAGAGGCTACAGGACTGTTGCTGTGACACAGTGGCCCTAGATGGAGGAAAATCATCAAACACCTTCATCGCACTCTCTAGGGCTCAGGAAATATCATAGAAGAAGGTGTGGAAACAGTGTTAGAGCCAGAAGAGGGGGTGAAGTGTTTGTTGAGTAACTATATCCTCCAAATGGAAACATCTTTTCCTAGAGCTAATCTTACTAAGGCTCAGAAAGTAAACACAACTCACAAGTCTCAGAAACCTTCTCAGACTTACAGGATTCACAAGGCCCCTTAAAAGTCTATAAAAGCAATGGGAAGATGCAGATTTTGTGAGTTGTAGCCCTAGTACAGTGGTCTTTTCAGTGAGACAGCTATCTTTGAGTCACTGAAGATCTTGTAAGTAACCCCAATAAACTCACAGTTTCACTCAGCTAGACCTGGGTGAAATCATTTTTTGTTCTTTGTTCTGCGTTGGTGCCCTATCTGAGGTGAAAAGATGTTTGTCATTGTCTCCTCAGAAAAGTCACACAACAGAGGTGTGTGTGTGTGTGTGTGTGTGTGGTGTTAAAGTCTTCACTGGGGACTTGTGGTCTTTGGAATCCTTGGAGCTATTAGATAATATGCCATGACAAGGTAACAAAGGCTGCCCCAAAGCACCTTGTCATTTCAGGGCTAAGTTGACACCCTTCATCATGGGCTTGTTTCTGTGCCTTTTTAGGGGAGTATCTATCATTTGGGGTCTCCTGAGCCTCTGTAGGGTAAGGCTGGGAGGTGGTGTCCATGGACTGACTCACTGTAGGTGTGGAAAAAGAGTCCTCCAGACAGCCTGGGCCCAGATTGGGCAGAGCTGGTCCTTTAGAGACCCGTGTTTGGGCCCCAGGCCCAAATGTTAAGTTGGGGAGAGGTAGAGATATGAGTCACTATTGACCGCCCCCTTGAGCTGTTTGGGTGCTAGGACAGAATAGACTGCTGGAGAAATGAGGTGTCCTGTCTGTCTGGTCCCCCAGAATTCTCCACCTTTCCCTGTGGTTTTCAAGCCTGTCAGTAAAGGCCACCCTCAAATTGTGTGGGAGCAGTTCCTCCCAAGTTAGGGACAGAGAGCACAGGCTTCACCTCAGACTTCTGCTCAAACCTGCTCCAGGCCCTAGAGCCCTGTGTCTCAGTGTTACTAGGAGAGGGTCTCTTCATCCTGGGCAGGGCAGCCCTGGCCCAGCCTGCAGTCCATTCATGTGGAAGAAGCAAGGAGTCAAAGTACAGGGTCTGTGAAGTCTTCATCTGACACAGGCCCAGAGACAGCTTGGCTAGCAGAGGCCGTCTGTAGAGGGCAGAACACCAAGAGGGGTGAGAAAGGTCTCTTGGTTCAATCCCACCCCTAGCTCTGGCCAGATGGAGAGATACAAGACCCATAGAGTAGATCCTCTCAGACCTCTGCAAAGCCCTGGCTTGTCCCTGGGAGTCCAGGAAACCAGGAGGGAGGGAGGGATGGATGACAGAAGCTTATTAATCTCTCACCCCTGCTCTGTTCCTGCTGCCACCAGCTGAGTGTGACCCAAGAATATGCTGGAGCTTGCCACTTTTACAATGTGATTTAGAGTGGGGATGACAGCCCTAGGGACCCCTTATGCTCCTTCCAGCAGGAACTCACTTTCCAGGTGCTAGGGTAACAAGGAAGCTGTGGTGTGGAATGTGCGTGCGCACACGTGCCACACACACCTATGGCCTCCAGAAAATGGCATAGGGAAACTCAGCCACCCGAGGCTGGATGGAGGGACACTGAGACTGGAGGCATTGTCACTCCAGTCTCAGATATGGAAAGGGTACATCTTCCTGACTGTCCTAGGCCAGAGTAGCCTCTCCACAGGTTCCCCAGCACACAATTTCCACACCCACCATGTGCACACAAATTCCCCCCTACAGAACTCAGGTCCTGAAAGGCCACAGGGGGACTGACTGACACCCCACAATGACTCTGGGGTCAGAACCCAGTTATCTGCCTGCAGATTCCTCACACACACCCCTGCCTGGCACCTGAGAGGCCTGGGACAAACTCTACAGAAATAAGCTGGCATTTGCAGTTTAGGGACAAAGCAGCCTCCAGATGTCTTGGGCTCTTCATCACACTTGACCCCAAAGTTTTAGGTTGGTGTGGGTTATGGTGCTGCTGAGCCGCAGAGAAGGCTGCCGCCCCCTGGACAATCCTACTGTGGATGGCTGGGGGAATACACTCAGGGGAGCTGTTCATCCACTTGCTGGAACCTAGGCTGCACCTGCCACCATGTACCTGAAATATCTCATCTTAGGACCACTTAAGAGTGACTTCCAGAAGAATGCTCTTGGTTCTGAAAATGATTGGCCTCTGGCTTTTAGCCTTAAAGCTGCATACACACAAGAAATACTGGCGCCCTGGCCCAAGTGGAAGCCAGCAGTAGACATGGGTACTCACCCCCTCAGACTTCTTGTCAGGGAAGACACATGTGGACCCTCCGGCTGTGAAATTGCAGTAGACTTTGAAGGAGTCCCTGGAGCATCCTTGGTTGGGATCGACCCAGTATTCACCTGGATTTCAGAGGCAGGGAGGCAGATTCATGAGAATGGCTCCCGAGACAGTAGCAGAAGCCACCGCAACATCTCAGTCTAGCTGTTAAATGCACGGCCAGGGCCATAAAGCCACCAACACAGCCTTCCTTCCTCATCTCACAGCACTTTCTTTTTCCTGCGGGAAGCATAAAGACTAGCGGACAGCCCTGTTCACACCAACACAGCTGGGGCGTGCAGGACACTGTGTAAGTGTCTGCCGACCTTGATGGATGGACGGCAGAAAGACAAAGAATGTCCTGAACGAACCTGGAAATTCGCAAGTGTGGAGTCAGAATTTACTGGAATCAGACACCCTTCAAATCCCGAAGGAGGAACATCCCTACTTCCTGGGGGAAGGCATGCTGGCTTTGGTTTACTGCTCAATTGGCTCTTGGTTTGATGAGGGTGAGAGTGGGGCTCCATGGTTCTGCCAGGGTTTAAAACCCACCTTCCCAAGCATTGCACATCTTGACATCAAGCTGCCTCGAGGGCCAGCTAAGTGCCAGGCCAAAGGCATCTTACACACTGTCCATTTACCACTCACGGGGCATGTTTCTGCCCCCATTTTACAGATCAGGACCAATGAGGCTCAGAGTAAAGCAGGAAAATGCCTGATCAGCCTTGAAGCCCTGGTGCTCAGCTCCTATCTGGCCTCCTCTGCCTGTGTCACCTCCCTTTCTGATGTTTCTGCAGATTAATAAGGGGTCCAGCCTACTCTTCCTCCCATAGACGGTGAGTGAGGAGGTGGCTCTGACTGGCCCAGTCACCCATTCCATGGCTCACCGTCTGGGAAATCAGGATGGCAGAGCTGTAGGTCCTTGCAGGTACGGGCGGGGTTCTGCTGTGTGCCCAGTGGCCGTTTCATCTGCTCAATCTCCAGCTTCAGGGAGTTGAGGGAGCCAAAGATCTCCTCCATCCCATCTGCATAGTCCAAGTAACTCTCCCCAGCCCCATCGTCTAGGAGCTGGCTGGCATCGATGTTCCGCCGAGTCCTGGATGCCTGGATTGGCAGGGGCTGGATGACCTCACCTGGAGGGCCCTGGGGTGCAGAAGAGAGCAGTCATGGGTAGAAGACAAGGATGGCCCTGCTCCAAGGGCAGAGTTAAGATGACCCTGAACTAGAAGCCTCGGCCTCTCAGGCTCTATGTCCTGTGTTGGAAGGACAGCTGCCAGCTCACACTGTTTTCTCACCTTCTTCCTATATCCTGAATATCCCATGCCCATCCCCCAACCTAAGTGCATTTCTTCCCTGAGCTTAAGGCCCTGCCTCTTCTCCAGAATGCAGTGGCTCAAGGCCTCAGCTTTGTCTGTTGTTCTCACACAAACATAATACTCATAGAAACTTGTCTGAATGTTTTTACATTATGGATCACACATATACATCTGCATAACACACATACAGAAACACATACATTCATGTTCACACATATACATATCTAGAAACACCTATACATTTGTACATGCATATTCATGTATATACACATACATGCATAATACACACAGAAACACGCATGCATACTCACACACATATACATATAAAACATGCCTGTACATTTACTTAGGTATGTTGACAAACACACACACGCACAATATACATAAATACATATGCTCACACACATATGCATGTTCACAATATGTATATGCACATATGTAATATACATATAGCAATACACACTATGTATTTCATGTTCATACACACACGTGCAAAAATACATGTGCATGGCTGCATATAATATCACATTCACAAAATGCTCCTGTATATGTACACATATGCATGTTCACACACATGTACATATATGCACACCTATGTATATACAAATGCATGTTCACACACATGTACATATATGCACACCTATGTATATACAAATGCATGTTCACACATGCACACACATAGAGAATAACACTTTTATATTTATAAATGCATATTCACACACATATATGCACATGCACAATGCACAGACAGAAATACAAATACCTGCATGCATTGCATGTTCATGCATGTACACACATATAAATATTCATAATAGATATACATATACATAGAGAAGCATCTGTAACATACCTACATATTCATGTTCATATATGCATCTATGCACATTTACACAGCTAAATACACATATGTATACACGTTCATGCACATAGCACAGAGAAACTTACACATGTATATGTGCAAGTTCATACATGTCTGCCCACTCATACTTACATGCATATTTCTACACATGTATAGGGTACACACAAATGCACAAGTCCATACTTACAAACATGTAAGCAGGCACAAATTATTACTTACACATATAAATATATACACACGTAACTAAGCATGCATATGCATGTACAGTCATATGACACACTTATATAGTTACATATAGCCACATACATACATGCACATTCCCCCAGTCTCTGGCCAATAATCCTACCCAGGGTAAATCAGCCCATGAGCTCCTTAGACAGGCCTGTGACACTCACAGGCCCTCTACACTCCCAGGGACCAGCCTCTGGGTATGCCATCTGCGTTTCACTGCATCTCAGTTAGCAAGTCCCACAAACAGACGCTCCCTCAGTCACCCTCCACACTTCACAGACTACTCACAGGTGGGCCAGGGAGTCCTGGGTGGCCTGCCTCGCCCTTCGGGCCAGTGGGACCCTGGGGAGAAAGCAACAAACCAGTACTTGGTCATGGGGCCTTCTGTGATCTGATAGACCTACTAGCTCTGGAAATGTCAGGACAAAGGGACAAGGCAGGCAGGACTTTCTGCTCCTGAGGCTGGTACTCTCCTCAGAAGGGAGCAAACAGCCCAGATGTGTTGGCCTGAGATGGGCTGGTCTCATTCGGAAAGACAGGAGACAGGTGTCACAAAGGAATGAAAATGCCAACAAACAGGTTTATGGAAGCATGCCAGCTGCATGGGCCACAGTGGGAAATGTAAACCCAACCTTCAGCACGACTCCATCCACCTCAGCCTGCAGGGCCATTATCAGAGGACAAAAAGAGGTGCCAGAGAGGATGGGACATTCCCAGTGCTGGTGGGAATGCAGAATAACTCTGTCAGGGTGGAACCTCAACAAAGATGGACATGCTACATACACAGTCTACCTCTAAGTGTGCGTCCAAGGAAACAAAGCCACTGTGTCTGTGTGACACTCCCACACCCATGTGGTTACTGCTAGGATGTGGGATCAGCCTAGGTGCTCTAGCCAGTGAATAAGGAATGTATCATATGCACACAGGAGTATTGCTCAGTCATTAAGAAGGCCATCTTGTCATGTACATGGGGGTGTGGGGGAGGGGTGGCAACTAGAGGCACGCTGAAGTGAGCATTACCAGAAATACGAGGTAGAATGATTTGAACATTAATAGTTAGGAGAAAGTAGATGATAGAACAGTGATTTCCAGAGGCTGGGGGAGGGGCAGGGGACTGGGTCATTGGAAGGAGTGAGGATGGATGACAGGTACCAAACATGGCCACACAGAAGGAAGGAAGGAATAAAACGTGCTGTTCTGTAGCACAGTGGGGGACTGATACATGTACTATCTGTGAGATTTCACAAATATCTAGAGAGGCTGGAGGGCTCGAAACACAGAGTAACAGTGAAGACAGAAACACTGATGACCCCAGTTTTGATCAGGACGTGTCATAGGCACACAGTGAAAAGCCACACTCAGACCCATAAACATACATGTTTGTTACATTAGCCGGAGTGTGAGGAGGTTACAGGATCTGGCAGAGCTAGCTAGTCTAACTTGCTTTTATCCCACTGCACCCCATGAACAGCTACAATTAAAATAATACTTGAAAGCAGCCATCAATAGAGCAATAGAATTGTTATTTTTTTCAAAAAAAAAAAAACAAGGAATAAGCACACACATAATGAGGAAGAAGAGAGGAGGGGTGGAGAGGACCTCCATGGGTTGGGGTGAGTGTCCAGGGTAACCCACTTCCCAGGGTACTCTTTCCCCACCTCCAAGGTAGTCTCAGGTATCACGGGGCCCGTCAAGGTAATCACTTACCGAAGAGCCTTTAGCACCTTTGGGACCTGGAGGGCCCTGCAGAGAGCAGAGGTCAGAATGTCAGTAAACAGAGGAGCCAACAGGCCCTAGTTTTGCTCAGCCTGTCCCTGACCCCCAGACTCCTCTCTGCAACTGCTTGGTTGGTGGGCAGGAGAAGTGCTATTTGTAGCTGCCATTAACCCCCAGGAGGCAAAGGGTGTCTGATGAGAAGCCACCCTGCCCACAATGCTCAGCTTGAGAATGACATTTGGACATTAAGAGTCAAGGGAGTTCTGGGCTCCTGAGGGGCCTCAAACAAGTCAGCTTCTGGACATCCATGGCCATGTGGGCCCAAAGCTCAGCTGACACAGACAGGTCCGAGTGGGCAGAGCTCAGGGATGTGGGAACGACATTGGGGTGCTGGACCCTCAAAACACAAGGGAGGCCCAGGCCAGGGTGCGAAGGACAGGTCCTTCATTCTCAAGCCTGGACAGGGCTGGCCTGGCCCATGCATATTAGGAAGAGGAGAGCCAAGACACTCCCCTCCCTCTCCCCAGATGCTTACAGAAGGGTCTTCATTCTTTGGGAGGGGGTTCAGGCATTAAAGTTTGCCCCTTCCTTCCCCCTTGGCAAAAACCAGGGAACCAGCAACCCTTCTCCTGATCCTATGTCTTAGAACCCCAGTGTTGTATTATATACAAATCAACCCTGGTTCAATCATCTCTACTGACTTCCTTGTGGTTCTCTGGCTCATCCATCTTGCTTTCCTCCTTGTATCAACTGGGTCCTGTATCCCCTGTACCCATCCTAGATACATACCGGCAAGCCAGGGGGCCCAGGAGGCCCAAGTGGGCCAGAAGGACCAGTGATACCCTGGAAAGGGGCAGAAAACACAGGTTACCAGATTTTAGATGGGGTGAAATTGAAGAAGGTGACCCCTGTGTCCCTGCCACGATTCCAGACTCCCTCATAGTCCCCTTTCCAGGGACACTGAAGCCTGGCAGGCAACTGTAGTCAACCACTCTAGAACTTACTTCATGGTGAGAGCCAACATGGCTCCTCACTGGACTGAACTAATTCATCAGAACACCAGCAACAGGTTGAAGTCCCCAGGCCCAGCTCCCTGCCCAGGTTGGAAGAAATTGTGAATTAAGATACCACTACCCCATATGCTACTGGAACTCAGAAACGCCTACTGCAACCTCCTGCCCAGCTTGGTCACCTATCTCGGCTCATGGTGTTAGGTCTCACCACAGTGGACAGAGGGAAAGCAGTGAGTGTCCCAGAGTCTACTCTGTCCAGCCACAGTTGACAGCCTAGCCTCACAAAGAACAAAGGGTCTCCCTCCACCATTGACTCACAGGGTCTGGCCTCTGAGTCCCTAGTGAGCCCCATGCTTCTCAAGCCCGCATCCTGGAGACACCTTCTACATGCAACATGCCTAAGACCACAACCTGTGTGCAGAAGTGAACCTCCATGTACAGAGCCACACAAGTCTAAGAGTGCCACTGAAGCTTGGCGACACCTGGAAGTCAGAAGACTGCCCACAGTGGCTGAGGCAGGGTTCCAAGGGAGCCTCATCCTTTGACACCATCCACTTTCAATATGACCTAAAGAGGGGTGTCCACTGTTTGCTCAGCCTCCAGAGGCTCCTGTCACCATCACATCCTGTTGTCTTTAGGGAATAGACCTAGGTGTGGGTAAGTAAAGATCCCCAGATGTAAGTACTGTCATATTGGGGGTACAAAGTGGGGATTCCCACTACAGTGAATGGGGACTTCCATAAAACACATGTATGTATTTTCTCCTGCACCATACACAAACTACACCTCTTTCAGCTTGGGAGTCTCCTCCATTTCACCCGCTACAGCCAAAACAACATGCAACCAGGGTTTCCTCTACCATGGCTCAGCAAGACTATTAACCAACTACAGTGGATCCCAGGGCAAGTCTGGGTCAGATGTGGCAAGGTGAAGGCAGGGATGCTAATGGCCATTGCTCTACCTCTCTCCACAAGTGAGCATGGCTGATGGCCCGCACCAGCCTTCTGCCCGGCTAGTCGGGTCAGCAGCTCTTGCATGGAGGTGAAGAAGGGGAAAAGTCTGACTGCTAAGGCCCTCTAATTCCAAGGGTCATTCTCCTGCCTCCACCTAGGACCTGAGGTTTGTGTATGTTCTAACTTGTGTCTTGGGGACCTAGCTAACTCCAAGCCCCATCTGCAAAGCAAGATTGGGGATTCCATGGCAGTGAGGGCATCCTCCCAGGCTCTGAGGGAAACTGGAAGCTTCTCTGGGGATGTTAGTTTCTATATGTACCTGTTCTCCTTTGGGACCAGATGAGCCCTGGGGGCCTGGGAGTCCTCGGTCACCTTTTTCACCCTGTTCACCTGGAGGTCCAATGAGTCCAATCAGGCCTGGATGGCCCTGTGAGAAAATGAAGGTGTGAGAAGTAGCCATACTACCAGTACCCCGAGTCCACCGCACAGTGAGCCAGGTGACCTGGTACATAGCCATAACACAGGGAAATGTGTCATAGTCAACATATCAATGATTGAAAATCAGAGGCCAGGTGACAAAACAGGTCTGGTGGTCTTTGCTGGTAAGGAACATACACAGGGAGCGCCAGGGTATGTCTGAGCAGTAAGCGGTAAGGCATTGGACTAGCATGTGTGAGGTCCTGGGCTCAGTTCCACAGTACCATCACCATCTCTGGACCCCACTGAACCCCAATAACAACCAAAAATAAGCATACAGGGGTATTCAGACCCAGAGGCCATCCTCTGAGGGATAGCTTGTGTCTATCATTTTACTTAGTAAACTTTCTGACTTTTGGTAAGCATGTACCTTTTCCTACAAGGGCTGACACTGAATGGAAACTGCTGAGTGCTAAGGATATTATATTCATTTAAACATCTTTCAAGAGAAAAAGCCACTATATCGGCCTTATATGTATATCTTTTGGTTTCATGTGAGTTTCTAGAATGTTCTGGAATGACTTCCAGCTTCCATTATATTGGTGAAAGCTATCAAAGTGGGAAAGAGTGGTTCTTCTTTCCTTCTCTGTGAACAGCTGTTTGTCTTGCCAGCCCGTTTATTTACAAATAAATCAATGTGAGGAGGAGAAAAGTTGTCATCAGTTAATGAAGCTGCCAGGGCCTCTAGAAGGTTCTTGTCAATTCTGGGGCTTCTAGGACACCTTGATACAGACATGAATCTCAAAGCCTTGAGTGTATTTCTCCTCTGTCATTCTACCTCCGTGTCCCATGACAGTCACAGCAGGTACTGATGATGGGTCAATAACTCCAGTGAATGAGTTAATGGTGTTCTTATTGCAATATTGGAGTCCCCCAAGTCTTAGCTCACCTTTTCACCTTTGGGACCAGAGTCTCCTTTGAGTCCAGGGAGTCCTGGAGGACCCTGAAGGAGAAGGGAAAGTCAGTGTCCTTGTCCTAGGGGTTTCCAGTGCCCTACCTATACAGACACAGACATTTCATGCTACTCACCATGGGGCCAGGTGGACCATCAGGGCCTGGGGATCCTGGGAGGCCTTGCTCACCCTGAAACAGAGTTCCTCGATGTGATCATGTGCCCCCATCAGCACCTCCCTCTCATCCTGGGCCTGCTGGGCCACTTACCACAGGGCCAGGGATCCCACGAAGACCATCGGGGCCAGGCTTCCCAGGGGCCCCTTGGGGGCCGATAGGACCAGTCTTCCCAGGAGGGCCTTCTAAGCCGGCTTCTCCCTGCAGAGGAGGATGGAGATGTCCAGAGGCTCAAGGCACAAGTCCAAGACCCCTGGGGTGCTTCAGAGCTGCCCCCGTGTGTCCTGGGTGCTGTCACCTCCCACCTTCCTGTGGAGAATGACTTGGCCCGAGCTCCAGGTTGTTAACATCCAAACACAGTTCATGGAATTGTTCATAACTACCTACTATCTCTGTTGTAGTTCCAAAGACCAAATACAACGAAATACACAAAACCAGGTCCATGGAATCCAAAATAACTACCCACTATCTCTGTTGTAGTTCCAAAGTCCGGATACAATGAAATACACAAAGCCAAGTCCATGGAATCGTACATAACTACTCACTATATCTGTTGTACTCCTGTTGAGTGTGGTAATTACCACAGCAGGTCACCCACCAGGAGCTGAGCCACACAGCACCCAGATGCAGAACTCACCAAGTCTCAGAGAAAGATGGCAAATGCTCCCATCCAGGCCTACAGGTCATCTCACTACAAGCGTGGCTGGGTGTTCCAGGGCTGGGCACCACATGTACCACTCAGGTAATGGCCATCATAGTCTCCTGAGTACCTACTTCCTGTGTGTACTGTCTTCCCCTCTGTTATAGGTCAAAGACTGGGTGTGACCTAACCCTGGCTCCTTCTGCCTCCTCCTTACTTCCTGTGTGTACTGTCTTCCCCTCTGTTATAGGTCAAAGACTGGGTATGACCTCACCCTGGTTCCTTCTGCCTCCTCCCTCTGCCTCCATGGCTCCCCTGTCCTCAGACTATGCCCTACCACTGCCCCAACCTCCTTCAGGCCCACAGAGGTCACAACCACCAGGGTAACTTACCTTGGCTCCTTTCTCCCCTTGCCTGCCTTCAGGACCTGCAGGGCCTGGGGGACCCTAGAAAAACAATAAATAAGACTTGAGTGTGAGTTTGGAGACTAGGCCCAGACTCCAGGGAGAGCTTCAGAGTGTGAGGCCGCCTTGGACCACTCTCCAGTGAAGATGCAGATCCCCATATGGGGTCCTAGGACTCCAGGAGCCTGCAAAGCTTCTGGTGGATCTAAGGAAGCCCTGGATGCCTGGTTTATAGAAGGTCCTCTCCCGCCTGAACACATTTTGGCTCAAGCACTACAGTCCAAACATCCACTGGAGCTTGCAATACAGACATCTGTTCCTTGTCTTGGATCTCCTTTGTTTAGATAGGCTCGTCTAGGGACAAGAAGAGTCCAGCTTTTGAAAGTTTTCTCTCCCGTGATAGTATAAACATGTCAGTCATTGGCCATCCTAAACATGCTGGTCTAGACTTTGCTTCCTCAGAGGTTGTTCCTCTCTGTTGTGTTACCCCACAGATCTGTGACCTTATGAGTGTGCCCCACATTTCAGATATCCACACGCCCTCCTCGGGGCCATGTAGGATGTACTGGGAGTCCACAAGGGGTAGAGGGCTTTGTGCAGGAAGCAGTCAGTAAGTGGGGAGTGGTGGGCAGAAGGACTTACCCTCTTTCCTGGAGGTCCAGATGGACCAGGTTCACCAGTAGGGCCTGGGGATCCCTGGTTGGGGGAAGAACACAGAGCATTAGAAATCTGTCACATCAGGGCACAGGGCTGCGCTTCCCACAGCAAA